CCTGTGATGAAAAATGGATCATGTATGATAACAGGAGACGTTCCGGACAGTGGTTGGATTTGGAGGAACCACCGAGGTAATTTTCAAAGCCGAACCCTCACGAAAAAAAATTCTGGTCAGGTTTGGTGGTCATCGGCTGTTGTAATCCACTATAACTTTTCATCACCAGGCCAAACCATCACAGCAGAACCCTACTGTGAACAAACCGACCAAATGTACCGAAAATATTGTCAGCTGCAGCCAACACTTATCAAAAGAAAGGGTCCGATTCTTTTGCATGACAACGCCCGCCCACACGTTTCACAAATCACTATCCATAAATTGAACGAATTGGGGTTGAAGTTCTACCTCACCCACCATATTCTCCAGACCTTTCACCAACCGACTGTCACCTTTTCAGACATTTTCAGAACTTCCTTGCTGAAAAATACTTCATCAATTAAGACCAGGCAAAAAAGACCTTCGTAGATTTCGTGGATTCTCGACCACCCAGTTTTTCCTTTTATGGGATTTCTCGACTGCTCACATTTGCAAAAAAAAGTAAAAACAAAAGTGTGCTGATTCGAATGGTGCCTATTTCGATTAAATCCGATGAGTATTAAAAAGTTACGATCGTTTAAAGTGAAACACCCAAAACGCTGAGAACTTTCCGGACAACCTAATATAAACGCAGCCTTACCACATGCGCGGTGGAAGTTAAATCGCGGATCGGCTGCCGCCCACGCCAATCGAGCCTCCCATCTTTCGGGGACAGCGAACTGATACCAGATTCGTTTGGGAGGATAAGAACGCTGAACACAATCGGTTTGTCATACTAATGATCCTCGGAATCGCTCTGAAATCCTTCCGGACACAGTGTATGTGAGAGGTGTGTGGCAAGAGAATCGTAATTTGCCGCGCGCTGAGCGTCGCGTGCGACGTCGCGCCCGCAAATGACGACGATTCTAGGTGGTATTATTTGAGAATAGATAACGTATGAGCAAGAATAGAGAACAGTGTCTACCATTTCTTTGTCTACATGGAATCCAGAGCTCCAATCGGAAGGGTAGTGCAAACTAAGGGAACGACGAAGCGGTAATTCACGATTCTCTTGCCCGTCTTCCGGTGAGAGGACGCAGACAAGCAGAGGTGGCGAAGCATGGTCGCTCTATTGTGCTTATTCGGAGAGATATCGTAATTTCCACATCGCCAGAAGGAGTTTGGTATGCGTGAGAGTTGGTGCAAACTAATATATGCAGTGAAATACTACTAAAATGTAGAGGGGAGCTTTATGCGTGGCGCATCATGAAAAGAGTTCGACGTGCTCGAGCAAATTATACTTTTCTTCCCTAGCAGCACGAACAGGATCCAAAATAAATGCATCAAGGTCCCTTTAACCGATTCACGTTGAAAGCTGACGAAAAGTAAATAAACAAAAATTATTAATAAAACATTCTCTTGGTCGTTTGCGGTAGAGTTTGGCGCGCTGACCCTCCACACAGGGCGTAGCATCGAAAAATGAGTGAAATGGAGCTGTCAGTACGACCCTTCCCTACCCAGCCATCCACAACCTAACATCTTCTCAAATTCTCACATCTTACTAATTTTCCAACTCGCTTCTCCAGTTTTTCCCAAAAGAAGAGTCGATCATCAGAGTGTGAGGGGGAGGGGGAGGGCGAGAGGGATCGTCACCAACAAATTTCCATAACTAACCGGGACTATTCAATCCACGTGAAACGAAAAAAATCAAAACAAAGAGAGCTATTCTTGTGGTTCCCGCATGATTTCTTTGAGAATCAAATACGCTCAGCAACCAAACACGACACTCCCCCCCCCTCCTCTCCTACCAGAGAAATTTTTATACCCTCTAATCGCGGTTAGTGTCCCAGAAAGCAAGAATAACGCGATATTGAACGCAAGTCGTCTGTGATGACAAATTACTGTGAAAAATTCTCTCTATCTCCAGAGCATTATGAATTTCTCATTCAAATTTCAAGCGAGGGTTTGACGCGAATTCCTCAACGGGGTTATATATTGTCATTCTATAAGGAGGATCAGCCCAGTCACCTTCGGAGCCGGCAAATTGAGAGAGTAAAATACTTACTCGTGCATATGGCTGGTACTCGTCTACGATTTTTAAAGCCATAGAACCATGATTTGATGCCCGGTCTAAAAATCTGGCAGGGTGCTATATAGTGGGGAAAATGGCGAAAAAAATGAAGTGAAACGGTCAAAACCTGCGAAGAAAAGCCTTCGTTCTCAATGACTCAAAAAGCAATTTCGGACGAGTTTCCCGTAGGCATCTTGCCAATACCGCTACGGTAGGTACGGCTGCACGTATGTACTCATATATCCATGCAGCACCGCGGCCGCTTCATATCAATCCCTTCGCTTCATATTTTACTTAGCAAATGAAGCAATACGAGCATCAGGTACGGTCGTCCATTTGTGGGCGGGCGGGCGCAGTGGGCGTCTGGGTCGGTATGTTGCAGCTTGATAGGTCCTTGTAAGGGTGTCTCCCTTGGGAAAAGCGCCACGAAGTGCTCGCACAGGGGCGTGGAGTCCCGTCCTGTTAGGCGTATGATCCAAATCGACTTCGAGATTTATCGTGCCAATTGGCTTCAACAGATGCAGAAAGCAGGGCGTTTCCAGAAGGATATTGATCAATGCAGAAATAGTCATTGATTTTCAATGGTGTTTTCCGCTTTTTTTTGTAAGACAGTCCCGCAGGTGGTTACTTTCTGCCACTTGACCTATTGTGCTGTTACATAAGAATGTGTTTTGAACAAGGGGCAGCCTTCGCCTGCATCGTGACGCGGGAATTCTACATGGGAGACCTGGAAAAGAGCAGGAGGAGAAAGAAAATGCTAAAGTTCACACCATCCTGTAGCCGACAGTGTGAAGATGGGGGAGGAATCGCTTTGGGCCCTCTCTCAGTGTGGCACTGCACGGTGTACTTTTGACTGAATTCAATGAAATCCACAGACTTTTAAGTGACACAGAACGAGTTAGTTTGAAAATAACATAGCAGAAGATTGTGTCCCTGAAAAGATGTCCTTCAGAGAGTTCTGAAGCACAAGCGTCTCAGCACACGCTTTGATAGGCTAACATTAGCACTATCTTGGAAGTTTCTTTCTTTATTTTTTTTTTGGAAGTTGGAAATTCTCATGAAAAATCCATGCAAGTCATTAAAATCCTCAAGAAAAAAAATGTAAATTCAATACAAGTCTGTACCACAAATACAGTATCCTGGTCCGAGTAAACACTGAAAACAGAGCCATAAAACGTTAATGTTATTCCATACTAGGACCTCGACACAATGTCAAATTAATTTTTCCGCCAAATAAGCTTTTGGAAGGACCCTTTATTCGGTCTGAGGTTTCGCACGCTTCGTCCTCTTCAGAGACCAGAGATTCCACCAATTGTTCATTTAATAGTTAGGCAAAAAGAGGCCATAACACTTTTTTACCTCTAAATTTAGTATAGGTTGCTACTACGTTCATGGTAACAACGTCAGCAGCCGTCAAAAGCTGTTTTGAGGGGCAAATTGAATTTGTTTGAAGACGTCGTGTACGTTATGCTGCAAAACATGTTTCTTTCGACATCTGATTTTCTTTTTGCAGTGGACCTTCTTTGTGAGCGACGAAATGTGAGGCCAAAAACAAAAACCTCGTCAAGCTAGGCACACTTGTGTGTATCCATTTCCCATGGAAGTTGACACTGGATAGACGGAATAGGAGTGAATCCCCCAACGCTTATGGGAAAATCCATTACGACGGGCAACAAAGCGAATTTACATGCATTTTTGCAGCAATAACAACTTTCACGAAATCGCTACATAAAACGTTAAAAAAGATAGAAATTGTCAAAAAAAGAATGAAGGGCGCCATTCCAATAAGTGAGGTATTTTTGTGCAGATTACCCAGAGCACTTACAACCACGAACAACAGTTTCATTTATTAGGGTTTAGTTCAGAAATAATTATACTCACCTGTTCCCGATGCGAAAACCCTTTCTGGCACAAAGACTTATCCCGAAGCCAAATCTTAGACGCGGGCGGAAATCCAGATCTGCCCGGCTCAAAACCAGAGCACATCATGAGGATGGCAGTCCCTAGCACAATCCCCAGCAAATCGCCCCCTTACCAAATTTCCCCAAAGGGGCGGAAGAGAGAATAGGCATTGAAAGAATCTCATCAGGGTTTGCATTTGGTCATTTGCTGGTGGATAGGGGGGGGGAGTCGTATCTGCTCGATAGTGTTCGTAAAGGCTGTTCCCTCGACGGAAAACCTCCGAGGCGCGATCGGAATATTTTCGGTTGTTGACTTTTCTTTTTCGCGGATTTCCCGTTTCGTGTGTGTAATACATCCCCCGTTCTTTCGCTTTCGCGGAATTCAGAAAGATTGTAGGTAGGTTGCGAGAGTTGGTCGTACTGGAAGAAGAAATTTTGAGAGGCGAGGAGAGGGGGAGGATTGGGGAAGGGTCATTTGACCCATTATTTTTTCCTGTAGGCACATCCGCTCTTCTAGCTCTACTATCAGAAAAAGCAGATAAAAGGGGAAGGAGAGTACAGCACAGATGAAACGAGAAAACCGAGAAAAGTCAGCGACAGGAAAAGCTCTATAAAGGCCCGCCAAAACTTCTGTCCGTTCCAGATACGACCCCCATCAACCATATACGAACCGGCGTTGATTAAGGGAAGAGTCATATAACCCGAAAAGACAGATAATCAAAAATCGAAAAAATTCTCTCGACAACGAAAGTAGCCCCTACAGGCTTCAAATATGTCCCCTAGGAGAGGATGAACATAACGAGAACGTATACTGGTTATAACACATCAACCTGCATTATAAATGCCGACCAAAAGCAAAAAAAATGAATAATCGTGTAACATCATAGCTACTGACATTTCATAGCTTTGAGAGCTTTTTACAAACCTGCGATTACCGTAATTCGACGAACTATTGCACCAAAATACCCCGCCATGTTAGAACAGCTTTCAAAAGAAGAATAAATACGTACTATCGACAATTCTCGTCGGAGGATTCCTTCCAGATGTCGTTTTACGTGGAAGTGTGCTTTCCATTCCGATATACTAATCAAGAGCACATGTGTGAACGACCAAACCACTGAAATACCAGAGAATTTAAATGAATACGGACCGAAGACCAGTAAGGAATGAACATGGGCGAGTAAATGCAATGCAGTAATAGAAAGCAAATGATCAACGATCTCATGCAAATGACACTCAGAAGTCCAATTAGTTACGGGGCAGCGCATGAAGACGGTGACAAGTTGCATAACTCACTTGAGATTTATTTCACTGGAAAACAAGAATGATGATAGAAAAACGCTATGACAAATTATATCACGTCAATGAACCCACTAGGGACATAAATTGGCCTCCCACAACGCGTTTCTTCACGGGTGGATATGTGAGCGTGTCCGAAACCACACGGTTTAATGACATGCCGCCTTGCGGCCAAGTGGTCCGGTCAATGAGAAGCCTAATGGCACGCACACCTCATGAAACAGAAACGAAATGAATTCTGAAGGCGAAAAAAACTGAAAGGCTCGTTACTGGTAGCAGTAGGTTTGACGCTGTAATTCATGAAAAACACGTGTTCAGCAGTTCTTGTAAACATTAGTGCGGCATAAATAATGGCGCTTACGGAGCGACATGTAGACCAGAGGGCTTATCCCGGGTACTAGTTAGTTTGAGACTGGTGTAGGGTATGCTAGTTGAACCAATTAAGCGGCACCAAATGAAACGGACACCAATGAATTAGCCTTTTTCCCCCGAGGGTTTTACATAAAAAACTGGTAATCAATATTGCAAAGGGGTCGTCGTCACGCGGAGAAGCAACTCTGTCATTCAACAATGACATGCGAAGAAAGCTGGCTAGCATTGTAGTACCCTCCTTGAAGTAAGGAACTAGTTAGGAAGGGCTTCTGCTCCATTGGCATGACGCGCGGCAAACAACGCCATTGAATGCTGCTCTGCTCTGCTGACAACAATGTCACTTTACGATGGCCAAGGAAAATCAGCTCGATCACCCACTAGAGCCGTCTTTGGACGACAAATCAGCTGCAGTCGGCTTTCATTGAAGTCGTTTCCGTTTTTTCCCGTTTCAACTCGGACACGCCCTCTTTGTGGCGGCTATTCATCGCAGAGAACAATCAGCGCAAATTCAGCAGCATGACGCTTCGTTGTCAATTGAGGACTTTTCTCCCCCTCGCTAGAAGTACACACTTTGTTGAATTCGGCTGTTATCGCGGAATTGCGTTCGTCAGCCTTGCTTTGTAAATTATTCACGTTCTTCAGCAGCTGTTGCGACTAGTAGAAAAAAAAGATTTTGACAGCACTTCTGGACAGATGACGGGGTCAGCAGCAGTTTTTATTATCTTTATTTATTACACAGAACCCTTCCGGTGCTCAAAGCGTATGTGGACCATGGGGACGAGTGTAAGATGAATGTGAAATAGCATAGCATGGCGGACAAGCGCCCCTAACAGACACGCATGAATGAGCAGAAACCGAGAGAAACGAATGTCGATGTGGAGCGCTTTGGGAAAGGAGAAACGAAGAGAGCCATGGCATGAGGGATGCCATAGCGCTACGGAGGGTTGAGATAGCGATATGAAGACGGCGAAAGACGACCACGAGGTTTATGGTGAGTGAAGCGAAAATATGAACTGGATTAAGAACATAGCAGCTTGAGATAGGCGAGATAATTACATCCGACATGCTTCACATTCTACTATCTTATATCGAAGTTGTTTCGACGACAAATGACGGGATAACGAGCCCGCCCGAACGAAGACCAGTTGTTGGCCATGCTGAACATATATCAAACAGACGTATACACCTATATCATAAAGGGATATAATTGGGGCCATTATGTCAGACAAGCCCGACCACCTTGGACCACATATCAACAAGAAAAAAAGGAGTAGTGGTGTATGAATAGCTGGCTGCCCTCAGTGGCCACGACCCAGGAGACTCAATAGCATAAGCCTGCGGCTGTTATTTGCCGCTGCAGCTTTCACCAAACTAGCCATCACAGAATGGAGTGACGTAAAAATTGAGAGATTGCCTTCTACAGGATGGCGAAATCACTGCTCGCGCTCTAAAACTCAAATTTTGGCTCATGCGCCATAAAAGAAAACTATTTTTACGAAAGTGTGAACTAAGGCATTCCACCATTTAAAGGCAGTTGGCACGATAAATCCCCCAAGACGAGTAGGATTAATACGCCTGGCAGGACGGAATTCCGCGACCCTGAGCAGGCGCTGCATAATGCCTTTTCCAAGGGAGGTGCCCTTATAAGGGCCCTATCAAGCCACAACATTCCGACCCAAACGCCCGCCCACAAATGGACGACCGTTCCTGACGCTCTAATCGATTCATTTGCTAAGCAAATTATGAAGCGAAGGGATTGGTATGAAGCGGCCGTGATGCTGCATGCATATATAGTACATGCAGCCGTACCTTCGGTAGCGGTATTGGCAAGATGCCTACGGGAAACTCGTCCAAAATTGATTTCTAACATA